TCCACCATTAGCCAGCCTTCTTCCACCTCCATCTTCCACACCCATCCCCCATAGCCAACCTTCTTCCACCTCCGTCCTCCGCACCCTACCACCATAGCCATGCCCTTGGACCTTATCCCTCCTCCGTCTCCCCTCCCAACACTTAAGGACCATGACCTAGGAAGGTGGTTAGGGATATGAGGCCTCACAGGTAGGTTAGGCGGGCGAACAAGGGGTAAGTTTATTAGGCCAAGGACTCTCTCCTTCTCTCTCTCTCTCTCTCTCTCTCTCTCTCTCCCCCTCCCTCTCTCGCTCTCTCTCTCTCCTAACCTCCATACCTTCTCGTCCTCTACTTCCCTCCCATCAACGTTCTCCCTCTCTCGCTCTCTCTCTCTCCTAACCTCCATACCTTCTCGTCCTCTACTTCCCTCCCATCAACGTTCTCCCCGCCCACACCCTTAACGACTCCACCCTTCCCCTCCTTCCCTTTCTTTGCTATGCAACTAACCGCTTCCCTCACCTGTTACATTGTCAGGGGGTGGACGGTGGAAAGAGGCGGCCTCACTTGGTGGAGAAAGAGGGCAAGGGAGGGGCAGCCGGTCCCTTGTGCCACCAAGAAGGAAAGAAAGTAAAAGGATTGGAAGCTTGGAAAAGGCGAGGCTTTTAAGAGAAGTGGGATCAAGTGCAAGTTTTGTGCAAGGTCGGTTGACTCAACCATCCCCCCTGATTGCATGACCAAGGAAAGAGCATGGTTTGACTGTGGGAAGGCAAAAAGAGAAGGAAGAAGCACGACAAAGAAATGAAACTTAGGCTTGGGGGGAAGGGCGATGTGTTGACCCCCAATGGGGGATGGATGTTTGTTCCTTGCTTGTGTGGGACTTGTGCAGGTGAGTGATTTGGGATGGCATGAGCGGCGTCGGGACGGGAGTACGAAAGCGGAAAGCTTGGAAAAGGGGGTAGTCTTGTATGATGAGAATGTGCATGGGATTGTGGTATGCTATATGGAGGCCCGAAAAAGACTAAGGGCCGCTGTGAGATTTTGAGGGAAGAACTTAGGCCGGTAGGAGGAATGGTAGTGGCTAGGGGAGGAGAGCGGCGTGGCCTCGCCCCGAGGATGCCGTCAAACTATAGGGACGTTAGTGAAAAGGTGCATGGCCTAAGGAGGACGCTTAGCCTACGCACGGAAGGAAGAGAAAATCTCAATGAACCCCCTGGGCTGCATGTGTATTGGAAGGAACAATTGCTTGAGAACACAAAGAGGAGAATCAAGAACTTACGCTTGCGACACTTGACCAGTGAGGCTACCACGCGACTAGAGGGCTAAGCTACATCCCCAATGTTGAGCTCTCTCGCCCTATTGGCCCATCCCCATCCATATCAAAGCACTAGGTGGGGGTGGCCCCGGGACGAACGACCCACGCCCAGAGCTGGAGCGTGGGCGGGTCGAGCCAAGAGGGACTCGCAGCGGGGTCGACAAAAGGCTCGAAAGTCTACCGGGGTTCGGCCCGACAAAAATGGTGGAGGTGTCGGGTACGGGTTAAATTGACCCATACGATCTCGAGGGGGGCGCCCGACGCATGCGCGCGAACACAACTCAAGATAAGGAACGAGGACTTATGTATGCTCCATCCCCTTGAGAGAATCAGATTTGAGGGCGGCTGGGCGCAGGGCAAGGCCAGGCCTGGAGGAAATAACATGCGTGTTGCACACTTGCTCAACCACCTCCTTGGGAGGTGACTCTAGTCCTCCTCCTTTCGGGCTGATGTTCGTCAGTCCGGGGAAGCTTTGGGCAAGCCGCAGGTCGACCCTTCCTCTTCGTACGAAAGAAGGGCTCTGGTTACCTGGCAGGCGGTTGGAATTCCGGGCTAGTCCGGGTTTCGATGAAAATCCCGCGGCGGAGTGATCTGACCGAGATGGGTGCCTTCTTCTTCTTCTTCGGAGCCCAGTGGGCTCCTTGCACGATCACTTGAAATGCTTGAAGGAACCTCATATGAACAAAATGGTAATCGAGAAGGAACAATCCTGCCCTATGAACGGACAAACAAAGGAAGATAAGGGAATGAAGGGAGTTGCTAGACTCCAAGGAAAACTAGCTCACCCTCGAAGATGCTCACGAAAAGGAACCAACCATTGTGTATGGAAGTAAGGGGAGTGGCACACACGGTCCTGTGAGAAAAGCTGTGAGGCTTGGGTAGGAAGCGTTGGGTGCACCAAGGGAAAGACACTTGTATTATGTGTGCCCCACTTGGGACTTGTGGTTTGCATGATTGGGGAAATTCAGCGTCCTGCCATTTCGGAAGGAAAGGGTGGGTCTGCACCGGCCGGTGCGGATTACGAAACATCGTTTTCTTTGCGTAGGCCGCTGGGCTTTCACGTGCAAGGTCACGCCACCGAACCATTGGGCGGGTGTTGGCACGCCGGTTGATTAGTAGCATCCTCGCGCGGGTGGCTCCGAGCTTGGCTCGGCACCTTGCCCGGACGGGGTGTGAAACGTCTCCTCCGGTGGGGCCTGACCTGTTGACGGGTGGGGGAAGACCACTGCATGTGGGGTCCGGAGGGAGCTGCGGGGTAGCGTCTCGCGATACGGCATGGTAAAGGCTGATTCTTATCGGACCGGTGGATGTGAATGCCCGGACTGCTGATTTTTGTCCCCACCGAGTACGCGGGGTAATTCCTGGTGCCAACGGGGGTTTACAAGAGCAGCAAGACGGGGTGGGGTATTATGGGCAAGAAGGTGAGGGTGTCTCCCCACTGGAGTCTGGGTACCGCGCTCGCGACGGTTGAGCTATGCTTGAGGTACGGGATAAAACTCTGCCGATAGTAACAGTGGAGAGGCCACTTTGGGGAACAAGGCCGGTGAGGAGATGATCGGCCTGTGTGCGAGGATTGCCTGATCTTTTTCTTTTGTGCCCCCCCTGTAAAGTTTGTCTGAAGATTGTTGGGAAGGGACCGAGTTTTCTGCGTCTATTCTCGCCCCTATCTAAGTCCACATGAGTGAGAGAAGATGGAAAGGAGCAAGGATAGGAGTCGGAAGGAAAGGAACCAAGGGAAGGAATGTCGGTGGAAGGTGACTGGCCTTGGGTGCGACAACGGGACGGTACCTGGGAAATGGGCAAAAGGGAAAATTTAAGAGACCTTGATGAGGGGTATAAAAACAATTCTCATCTGGGACTACGACTGACCTAACCGAGGGCCGATTGGTGCTCTTTTTGAAAAAAAAACAGGGCTCGACAACTAGGGAGGAACGAGATGGCACGGTCGTTGTCCTCGCCGACCTACTCCGATGGCCCAGAGATGCCGGTGGACGTAAAGGGTGGGGTGTCGGTCGTGATGCCGAAGAAAGGGACTTGGACGGACCTGGAGCCGGCATACCAAACTGTGATGCTGGTTGAAAGTGGCGCCTTCCTGTGGATTGAGACCATGTGGACCAAGGTTAGTTTGACAAGGTTAGCCAAAAGCCTGCTGGACTTATAATTTCGGGGGACCGTGGAGGCCCGGGGATGAGTCTACTCGTCTAAGGAAAGGGAAAACCCCATGATCGTAGAGCTTGCCTTAGGGGTGCTCCCGTACAGGTTGTTCAAGGAGGCCGAGCGGGAAGTGGTGTGGGCTGCGTGCCAACGGGTGGAAATGGTGATGGAAAGGATCGACTTGCGGGTAGAACTCAGGGATAGAAGGAATGTACGGAAGCCCTTTAGAACCCTGAGATGTGTCGTGCCGCCCTTCATGGTAGACGTCGTCTTCGGGACCCGGAGCACGCTGGTGCGGATATGCAGATCCATGGCGAGCCTGGGACTGTACCAAGGGGGCCCGCCAAGACTTTTTCCGCCTGTCCGTCGAGATGGGGCCGTTCGAAGGAAACTAGGCAAGGGAGCTGGCCGAGATACTGAACCATCTTAGTGAAGACGGCCTGTTTGTCCCAAGTAATGTGCATTGGAAGATAGTATATAGAAATGTCGCGATAGGGGAGACGTTTCTGGAAGGGATACAGGACCTGTGGTGTGACGAGGACGAAAGCGACTCTGATGAGGAGGAGAGGGTAGCAATGGAGGACTGGGACTTCTAAGAACAGAGGGTCCGGGGTTGTATGGCATGGGGAATTGGGGCCGTGCAGGGGATCAAGGATGGCAAGGGAGCAAGGCATGATGGAGCGGATGTTTAGAGGATGGACACCTAGGCGACTCAAGGGGGGGGGTGGAGATGGTCCTACCTACAAGGAACGAGTGGAGGGGAACGACCTGTGACTGGGTAGGGTTAGAAATCGAAACCGCCATGTCCTTTTTATGGGTAGAAAGAGTGTGGAATCCGATCAGGGAAAACGAGGCGTGGGACAAGCTAGCCAAGGGGGACGTGGAGTCGCTCGGGACTGTGTACCTGTCTAGGGAAGGGTGGCACATGTTCTGTGTGTGCCTGGCCGCGGGATGGGACCAGACGTGAATTTTTGGG